TGTAGCTAACTTGGACCATCCATCTCAACAATGGAAGATGTATGATTGGGAACAGGCTGAATCTTAAAAGCAGGGAAAGAAAATGGTGAACAAATAGCTGTCTTCTTGTGACACTTCCAGCAGGGGTCATAAAAGATTTTAAAGATAATTTAGTATTTCAGGTGTCTGAGTGGAAGGAGTGTGGTAGGGCTTAGGAGCACTGAAGAGTCAGGTAAGAAGAGGTGGGAATAGAGATACGGGAGATAGGAAGTTGTTAGAGCAAGAGTGATATAATGTCCTCACATTCCAGATAAACAGCTGAGAGAACAGAGACCTAGAAGCAAGAATAGACCTGAGGTAGTGCTCAGAGGACACGGCCTGCCTCACCCAGTACAGGGCAAGAGAGTTTGTTAAGCTAAGCATTCTACCTGGGTAGCCCGTCAGGAGTTTCCAGTTTCTGTGTCTAATTGCGGCATGGAAAGATGTGTTGAAGCCTGAGTACTCTGGAAAAGAAGAATCATCCTTTGCTGGAACCATGCTGTGCCCAGGACCTGAGAAGAAATCGTTTGGAAGAATTAGATCGCTGTTACTGGAACGTGTCATTATAAATCAGCATTTTATATCCTTCTTGCAGAACAGTAGCTTTTATTCAACACTGGAGTGCAAATGTGTATCCTGCCACAGAAATGAATCTTTTATTAAATATAAACAGAAAGCTATAGTTACATTAAATGTCAGTCATAAACCACCACAAATATAAAAGAAATCCCAAAGAGATTAGAACACTAATTCATCCTTAAAATCACTGTGCTCTGCCAATGTGCAGCTGGCCATATGCAAAATAGTGTTCTGTTACAGCAGGGTGGCTTTTTTTGTTTTGTTTTGCTGTTAAGAAAAGTTTGAATTAAATACATTTTCTGTGTGTACTTATACATATGTAGCTACTAAATTATAAATGTACATTTTAATCTAATATCTCAAAACATAAGAATTCAAGCCTGCCATGAAAAATAACATATATATTATTATTTTTAACCACATTTATGACATCTGAAAGCAAGTGAGCAAAGCTTAGTGTGGTAGTTAAGGTCATGTGTCAACTTGGTTGGGCCATGATTTTGAGTGGCCTGGCAGTGTAGTTATTCCCCATGATGAGATTGGATACAGTGTAATGTATACTCCATGGGGAATCTGCTGTGAGATGTTAAGTGGAAGGGGAGTTGCCCTTGGGTGTGGCCTGCTTCCAGTTTATATGGAAGAGCTTTGGGAATGGTCTCAAGCTTTTGGCACATCTGGATCCTTCATCTCCAGTTCCTGGACTTGAACCAGTGGCCTGCCATGTTGCCTACCAATCTTGGGATTGTGCCATTTTACGTGCTGACCTGGGATTCATCAGCCTCAGCAGCCTGCAGCCGTCTGAGTGAGTAGATGCCTCTAGTTCCAGTGGGCCTGGAATAAGAGGCAGAGCTGAATCCCAAGGTCAAAGGACCTTCACCCAACCCCTAGAACAGGCTTTCTGAATTCAGACTTCCAGCCTTCTAAACTAAGAGAATAAATTTCTGTTTGTTAAGCCATCCACTTTTGGTATTTGTTATAGCAGCACTAAGTAAAGGACTAAAACACTTTTAACTATTCAGACAAGCAACTATGTGTGTAACAATAAATCTGGTGTCCAAATTATTGGTTGGTAAATATATTTATCATTATAAAGTATTATATTAATTGATCTTTAAGTTTTTTGGGGAGAAGTAAATAACACCTATTTCTCTTCCTCTCTTGATTTTGGAACCAGTTGAACAGTAGAGGCCAGGCACATGGAGCTAAAAACGATGCCTTTATTATCGATACAGTTGATTGGAAAGACCTTGGCTTCAAATCTGCAGCAGAGAATTCACTAAATAATTGTTCCCTGATATAGAAAGAGGAGTGCCTGGGTGGTGCAAACAGCTTGTGCTTGGTCACTAAAGGCAGGCGGTGGGTATCCACCCCATGACACAGTGGAAGAAAAGCCTGGTGATCTGCTTCCGTAAGATTACAGCCGTTGAAAACACCATGAAGCACAGCTCTACTCTCAAGTTCCTGGTGTTGCTAGCAGTCAGAATTGACTTGACAGCAACAGTTTTTTTTTTTTTTTTCCTTTTCTTAAACTTAGAAACACTTAGCCACCCATCACTGGTCTTGCTGGACAACTTCTGGTCTCCTTCAGAGTGCACACCCAAGAGGAAAGCTTATATACATCCTATGGATAGGCTGGCTCCAAAACTAAACAAAGGGCTTTTCTTGTGACACACACCAGGAGTAGTTATGAAAGATTTTAAGGACAGCATGCTCATTTCTTTCTTTTGGATAACTCACTCCTTTGTCAACTGGTGGAGAGGGGTGAATGAGATGCAGTGAGTAAGGCCAAGCACTAACCAGTTGAAACGTGAGGGTAAGGAGCAGAGGTCCCCCTCCTCACTCTTCTACCTATGCATGCTTAAAAGTCTCAATTTAAGGCCTAGTTGTATAATAGTCTGTTTTTAAGTCTATTCTTACCTGTTAACTTTTCAAATACAGTTACAACAATCATCTTAGGAGCACTTCAAAATGTTGCTAAACTACCAGTCCAAAAAAAATAGCACAGACTCCGTCAAACTGGTTGGTCTGTCATCTCTGTTTTTCTGAGGATATTTATGCTCCTCAGCATTTTAAAATTTATTTTATTTCTTATTGTGATTTGGGTGAAAGTTTCCATTCAACATTTCATACACATTTTGTTTTGTAACATTGCTTGCAATCCCCACAATGTAACAGCACTCTTCCAATGTCCTCCCGGTGTTTACTATTTCCCTTCATCCTTCTTTCCTGTCCCTTCCTGCCTTCTGAGTTTTAACCCTGAACAAATGCTGCCCTTTTTACCTCATACGGTTGATTATCTAATGAGTGCGTACCTCCCTGGTGTTATTGTTCATTTTATAGGCCTGTCTATCCTTGGGCTGAAAGTCGAGCCAAGGGGTTGAGTTTAGTTCCAGGCATAAAGGGTGTCTTAGGCCATAGTCTTGCATATTCCATCAGTCTCTATCAGACAGGTAAGACTGGTCTTTTTTATAATTTTGAGTTTTGTTCCACATTTTTTCCCACTCTATCCAGGACCTCCTATTGTGATCCCTTTCACAGTGGTTAGCAATGGTATCCAGGTACCAACCAGTTCTTCTGGTCTCAAGATCTTGGTGGTTGGGGTTCACATAGTCCATTAGTCCTTTGGGTTAACTGTTTCTTTGCATCTTTGATTTTCTTCACTCTTCTTTGCTCCACGTGGGGAGAGTTGTACCTTAGATGGCTGTTCACAAGCTTTTAGGACTCCAGTTGCTACTCACCAAAGTAGGAATGTAGAACATTGTCTTTGTGGATTGTGTTGTGCTGATTGATCTTGAGATACCCTAACTATGGTCCTGAGCTCCCAGGCCCAGCAACTTATTCCCCCAAGGTTTTGGTTATGGCTAAGAAGTGATCATAACTTTGCCCCCTGTATTCTCTACTCTATTCATGGATACATTTGCAGCATATGTAAATATACATGTAGAGATATCTTCTGTAAAATCTCTATATATTCTTGGATGTAGTCTAATTTGTCTCCCACACCTGGTCAGCTTGCGTGTCTATTAACATATCCATTCATAGATTATTGTTATTACTGTTATTGCAGGACTGTGTATGTCACAGTATGTACTTTTGTTGCCTTGACTCATGTGCTCCTCCCAGTGTCTTCCTTTGCCTTGATCACTTTATGCTGAACCTCCCCCCTTATTGTATATTGTCTTTCCTTCACCCAAGTTAATATATATCTACCCTCCAGCTAGTGATTTTCACTACTCTGTCAGTTTGTCATACTGTAGTGGCTTGTGTGTTGCTGTGAGGCTACAGGCTATGCCACTGGTATTTCAAATACCAGCAGGGTCACCCATGGTGGACAGATTTCATTGGAGTTTCCAGACTAAGACAAACTGGGAAGAAGGAAGGACCTAGCCACTTCTCAAAGTGGACAGTGAAAACCTTATGAATAGCAGTGAACCACTGATATAGTGCCAGAAGATGACCCCTCAGGTCAGAAAGCACTCAACATGCAACTTGGGAAGGGTTGCCTCCTCAAAGTAGACCTTAACGACATGGAGTGAGCAAAGCTTTTGGGACCTCCATTTGCTGATGGGGAGTGACTCAAAATGGGAAGAAACAGCTTCAAACATCCATAATAACTGGAATGTGGAATGTACAAAGTACGAATGCAGGAAAAGTGGAAGCTGTCAAAAAAGAAATGGATGCATCAGGATCAATTCTTAGGCATTAGTGAGCTAAAATGGACTTGTAGTGGCCATTTTGAATCAAATAATCATAAGATCTACTATGCCAGGAATGACAATTTGAAGAGGAATGGCCTCACATTCATCATCACAATGAATGTTTCAAGATCTATCCTGAAGCACAATGCTGTCAGTGATAGGATAATATCCATCCATCTACAAAGAAGACCAGTTAATACTACTTTTATTCAAATTTATGCACCAACCATTAAAGCAAAAGATGAGGAAACTGAAGATTTTACCAACTTCTGCAGTCTGAAATTGACCAAACATGCAACCAAGATGTATTGATTATTACTGGTGACTGGAACGCAAAAGTTGGAAATAAGAATCACTGGTAGCTGGGAAATATGGCCTTGGTGATAGAAATGACCCTGAAGATTGCATGACAGAATTCTGCAAGACCAAAAAATTATTCACTGCAAATACTTTTTTTTTTTCCAACAACATGAACAATGGCTATACACGTGGATGTATAGGAACAGGAACCAGACTGACTACATCTGTGGAAGGAGGAGATGGAGAAGTTGAATATCTTCAGCCAAAACAAAGCCAGGAGCTGACTGTGGAGCAGACCATCAACTACTCATAGGCAATTTCAAATTGAAGCTGAAGACAATTAAAACAAGTCCATGGGTGCCAAAATATAACCTTGATTATGTTGTTGTTGTTGTGTGCCATGGAGGCAGACCTGACTCCTAGCGAGCCCTCCTTGGGTTTCCAAGGTGGTACCACTACAAAAGTAGATTGCCCAACTTTCCTTCCAAGGAGTGGATGGTGGGTTTGAACTGCCAGCCTTCTGGTTAGCAGTCAAGTGCCTCATCGCACCTGAATTTAGAGACCATTTGAAGAAAAGATTTGACACACTAAACACCAATGACCAGAAACCAGATGAATTGTGGCATGACACCAAGAACATCATCCAAGAAGAAAGCAAAACTTCATTAAAAAGATAGGAAAGGAAGAAAGGACCAAAACAGATGTCAGAAGAAACTCTGAAACTTGCTCTTGAATGAAGAGTAGCTAAAGCAAATGGGAGAATGACAAATAAAAGAGCTGAACAGAAAATTTCAAAGAGCAGCTTGAGAAGACAACGTAAAGTATTATAATGAAATGTGCAAAGACCAGGAGTTAGAAAACCAAAAGGGAAGAACACGCTCAGCATTTCTCAAGCTGAAAGAACTGAAGAAAAACCTCAAGCCTTGAATTGCAAT